TCTATTGCCAATTTTAATAGGTGTAATAAAGGCACTTAGGGAAAGTGTTTGAGGTGTCATTAATTAAAATAGACACTTTAAAATGCTTTCAGATTTAAAGTGAAACTTAAATGACATAAGATCATCAGCGGAGTACCAAAATATTGAGCATAAAGTCGGTGCAATGCATACAAATAATGAAAGCTTAGCATTGAGAAGATACACAACCAAGGAAAAGGAAGAGTAGAAAGAGGCAAAAGACAAATGGGGTTTTTGCACAAGAGAAAATCTGAATGTTTCTACTGTGAGAAAAGACTTACAGCCACATCGAGTATTCATGCAACACACATTATAACTACAAGATATGAGCTAAGTTCTTATAATTGGTATATCTATTTTAGAGAGCAATTCGCCGCATTTAAGAAATCTGAATACAAGCACGTTCTACAGGGCAACAATCCATCTCCTCAGCCATGTATCCAGAGAAAGTCTCACATAGTAAAGGAAGAGACATGATCAAGAGCAGTTATTGAAGCCTTGGCTGCATTAGAAAACAACTGAAAGCAAATGTGCAGTAATGAATAGGTTGTGATATGTTCATACAACAGCATACTATGCACACTGTAAATTATGCCGACATCCATCAACGTGTATCAACACGTATCAACTTCAAAGACATACAAGGCCATAAAAAGGAAGCTGCATAATACAAACAAAATGATATTTACACCAAATTTGAAATATTCATCTGGCTTATGGACACACATAGATGTAATGAAATAGATAATTACTCATGGGAAAGAAGGGAATAGGGCTGGGGAGTAATACGGGGTGACCAGTATCTAGGAAGCTTTATAGCTTTCTGATTTCTCTCCCCTCCACTTACATTTTTCTCTGCCTCAAAGCACATACACCACAGTTTATAAAAATATTTACAAAATTAATTGATGCATGCATAGGTGTCCATTATTCAATGTTATATACCCACTGCCATTGAGTCAGTTCTGACTCACAGCAACCACACAGGTCAGAATAAAACTGAGCCCTAGGGTTTCCAAAGCTGTGAATCTTTGTAAGAGCAGAGGGCCTAGCTTTCTCCCAGCAGCAGAAAGTGGGTTCAAACTGCCGACCTTGTGGCTAGCAGCCCAACGCATAATTCGCCATGCCACCAGGGCTCCCTTATTCACTATTATTCTCTAGAATCTTATGGTCTGAAAGTGAACTGTTATAAAAATTTAACCCAAAAGCCTCTTTGTTAGCTTACTATGCTAATATAAATTAAGATTCATTTATTTCATCAGGAAATATAACATAAATACACTTAATCACAATTCTCATGGAGAACATTCATAAGTAAAATTTAACAGTATGGTAGCTTAACGATAATTCCTTAGATATCATGATTAGCTCATTAACTTTTTTTTATCTTAAAATTAAGGTAGTCATTTGAATATGTAAAACTGCTTTTCCAGAGGTGAATATCAATGGTTGTACAAGGTCAACCACAAGGTAACCACCCAGATGCTCCTAGAGAGAGGGACCTGGTTTTCTACTCCCATAGAGAGTTACTGTCTTGGAAATCCACAGGGGCAGTACTACTCTGTCCTATAGGGTCACCATGAGTTGGCATGGACTTGATGAGAGGGAGTTTGGGGTGGGGGTTGTTTTAGGGTGGGGGTTTGGCTTGTATTTCCTTTTTCCTTTGGTTTGGAGGATTTTAAAAAAGACTTGTGTAATAATGACTACTGATTTCACTTCTCTTTTTAAAAACTGTTTCTCAGTCACTTTTAAACTTGTTTTCAATAAAAATGCACCACAACCATTATTCTGCAATATCTTATTTGAGTTAAGCCCTAAGGATTTAAGACATTTAAATTTACATCTTTTTGATCCAATTTACTTTATTTTAATTCCAAACATCTCCAATACCTGACAACCTGCGTATCCAAACTTCCAACTTCCATGCAGATCTGATGCAGCAGACATGGGGTAGCCAATGCTACTGACCCCTATATCAGTAACCGCCAGGTTTATGATCATTGCATTTGTGGGTGTCCGAAGTTCCTTGTATTTAATGAAGATGCCCAGAACTATAAAATTGCTCAGAATACTTATCATTCCTGAGAACATATAGAAATAACACACATTCTGTTTTTAAGAGTAGGATCAAA